TTGCGGCTTTCCGGTTTTGTGAATTCCAAGCTTCTGTGTTGAATGCAAGAAACGAAGTCATCTCACACTGAGGGAGCTGACCAGGCCAACCAGGTGTGTCCATCCAGTTAGAGGACAGAAGCGGCGAGACTCTGTGCAAGCCAGAATCTCTTTCTCAAAGAGATAGCGATCGGACAACGCAGGAGGACATTTGCGGCCTTCATCTTTACAGCAGCGTCTTGATATGGGATCTCCTCTTTGCTCCTGAAAGAGGGTACCCCATATTGAGGTGGGCTCACCAGATTCTTGAGTCCACGTAGAGGACAGGAGAGGAAATAGTCAGGTATGATATATAAGAAAATGGCAAAAGCAGACCAATCCATTTTTCAGACAAAAGGATGAGGAATTCCGGTCGTGAACATCCAAATTGAGAGACCCCTCATGTGGTGGCTGAGTGCTGTGAGGCCCAGAACATCCAAATGCAGGCAGCGCCTCCCTTGACGGGTTCTCGTGTGCGCTTCAACCCAACCATCACAGGTGATGAGGCCAGGTCTTGTTCCGCCTCGGGGTGCATTGTTCAGAGAGGAAGGAACGAGCACAACAATCGAATGGTGAAAATTAACAGTTAAAGGTCGTGTTTGGCTTTTGTGCATCTGCCTAAACAAATTAAGTATCTACGCATCTCAGCAGGTAAAGACTCAGGCAGTTCGGTTCCTGCACTGTGCTATGAGGCCAAAGCTTTGCCTCGCTGTGAAGTGAGCGTGCGATATACGCAAGGTCGCCTGGGCGGCCATACCTTGAAATTCTTCCAGCCAATCTCCGATGGGAGGCTTCTTTGCCTGGAATGCTTGAAACCTTGTGAGGCTCACACAGTGAGACCCGAACTGGTGACTTCGTTCACTGCTTCGGACGGTGAGCATGTGACGCACCAGGCTTCCTCCACGGAGACTGACCTTTTTTGTGCTGGCTCCTGCAGGGCGCGCTTCTTTGGGAAGCGCAATGAGAGCAGTTTGCGGCGGCAGCTTTTTGATTTGGAACGGGGAGTCTGTCAGAAATGTGGTGCGGACTGTCATGATCTATGGCAAACTTTGCTAGCTTCCAGCCCGGAGAGACGCAAAAAGCGCTTGGAGGACAGACATCTCTTTTCCTTTTTGGCCCCTTGGATTCCTTTTGTGGTTTGAGAAAGGATCTAGAGTCTAGAGAGCGATGCAGGAGGTGGCACCTGGCTTGAAGTCGCCATCAAAGGTGACTGAGGGCTCCCTGTGGCAAGCAGACCACGTGGTGCCTGTGTGGCGCGGGGGTGGTCTTTGTGGCCTCGAGAATCTACAGACGCTTTGCACAGCGTGTCATAGTGAGAAGACCAAGAAGGAGGCTCAAGAGCGCAAGGCCTGTGAGTTCAAAGATGCCTTTGAAAACATCATTCGGCTCATTAGGACTTGCTTGGCATTGGCAAGCTCAACATTGATGTTCCAAACTTGTTGGCGGGCGCAGAAAGACCTGGATAGGTTTTATTGATGACTGGACAAAATCAAGGTGCTTTTGTTTCCTAATGTTTTTGTGCTCCCTTCCTTGGCAGCCTCCAGGAAGGGCGAAGATGTGCGAAGCCCAAATTGAAGATGGTGACGCCACAGCGTCCTGCGCACAGCCGCACTGTGCGCGAGAAGTCCAAGGCAAAAACTGCACCGAAAATATCCCAAGCATCTCTGACCTGGGACAGAGAGCTCAAGGGCAAGCGGATTTGCTTCGATTTGACTGAAGACGAGCCGCCAAAAGTGCCGAATAATTTTGCTCTGTTCGTTTTCAAGCAAGGAGTTGGACGATCGATTCAGATGATTCAGCAAAAACTCACTCTTCAAAAAGAGAGGCCAATCAAGTCTCGGAGTGCTTGTTGGATTGTATTTCGCCGCATTTTGGTTCGGCTCGATACAAGCCACCTGAAGTCGTGGCACTGTGCCCTTGATTCCAAGTTTTTTCCGACATCATGAGGCATGATCGTCCCGGCTTCTTTAAACGTGTGAAGAGCAGGACATTTGATTGTCTCAGAACTGGTGAAAATGAAGAAAGCATATTATATAGTATTATATACTGTATACAATATTACTTTCCTGTGGCCACAGTATGACAGAGTTAGACAGCTACAGTAGGTATGCCTTCCGTCGGGATACCGGCCCCTGCAACCTGAGGCGGTAACCCCCATCCGCCAGCACGTTGACTGCTGCGCAAGGGGCTCCTAGCTTTTGATGGACGATGCAATGTAAGTTGTTCACCTATATTCAACAAGAGTTGACAAGAGAATGTCAACAATTAAAGCATTTACCAAATTGCGCTCTGCTTGTGTCCAACCACCATAGGACCATTGTTTTGTGGAGAACTGTCTCAGGTAACGAACCTAATTGTAGCTTTGAAGTGCCGGCATGTTTGGCAGTCGCCTAGACGCACAAAAGAATTGTTGATTTGATCATTTTTCTCAAATCGGAGGGAAGGCTCCTGTGGACCTGAAGACTTTTCTGTGAAGCTACGAACGTAACAAAGGGCATTGCTACTAGCGGCGAGAACGCTACTAGAAGCTCCTGGCATTATTACTGGGAACATGAAGCTACTAGGAGCAAAGGGCATCGCTACTAGTAACAAGAAGCTACTAGGAGCTCCTGGCCTTAATGCTCGCTACTAGGAACAAAAAAGTCATGCCCTTTTGGACCCCGAGCCGCGCCCAACGCCAGGTGGCCCCGTGCGGGCCACGATGGATCTCGGAAGCCTCTTCTCCGGCCTCGCAGGCGTGGCAAGTGGGTTGTGTGGCATTGTTACTAGTAGCTTCTTGCTCCTAGTAGCGATGGCCTTCACCTAGTAGCTTCTTGTTACCAGCACAAGAAGATGAGAGAGGCAAGCTGGTATCCTTAGGGGCCAAGGACCCACACTGTTTTGCTACACTGTCAGGGTTCATCTAGAGCAGGAGGGCGGAGACCTGTGGCGTCACCGTGGTACCAACAACGTTTCTGCAGCAGGCGCCGCCTACGAGCTCTTCGGCTACAACCGGAAGCGGGGCCGCCCAGCTGGTCGAACAGCTGTGTTGCTATACGTTTGTATTTATGAAAGCTCCGTCAAAAAATGTAAGTCTCGAATCGAACAAATTCATCATTTTGCATCCATGGCTGATGTGGATGCCGGTGATGTCATTCCTCTTCTGCCCACATGGTCAACCAGAATCGTGTTCCAATGCTGCTGTGGGAGACTTCCTTTGTTTGGTGCACAAAAGGGAGGGGAACGGTGCAGCACAAGGATTCTTTACACAGGGCTTTGGTACAACCATGGCCCTAGAGCTGTCTGAAACTGCATACCGCACTTACAATGCACCGTGCTTGTGCGCACAGTGGGGTCCTGCCCACATGCTGACTTCATGACACGAACTGGCAGGAACTTCCAATATGATCGCAGACAACGAACCATCATGGAGTATCAGCTCTCGGACCGACCAGAGCGCGAGAAAACGAAAAGGGGCGACTTCGCGCCTGCTCGCCCCAAAAACAAAAGCCAATGGGAAGATAGGGACCTGCCGTTTTGGCCCTCCACCACTTGGGAATCGGAGCAGGCTTGTCCCAGTTGGTGGACCGCGCACTTCGGAGCGATGGGTCCATCTTTGAGTCCAGATGGATGGGTCCATCGGTGATAAATCAAAGGCTTGGCAACGCTATGACACATACACTGGACCAAGTGTACCCTAGCAGCCACAGGGTAGAGGAGAATCATAGCTTCAAGACCAATTCGTAGGTTGCTGTATAGTACTTGGTCGTTTTGGAGGGATTCGGGGGAGTGTATCCTTCTTTGCAGATGTGCAGATGCTAGGAGATGCGCATCAAGCAAGTGGGCTTGTGGCGCGATGACGTCCGAGACGCTGTTGAGCCAGAAGCTTGAAGACTACGGGCCTTGCTTTGCGTTGCTTTGGGAGTAGTTTTTGCAATGAGGAGAGATGGACCATTCCTGGAAATGGCTTTCAATCGAACTGGTTATATGGCAGCTTTGCGCTGGGAAAGACGGGAACAGGCTGAGAGCAACTATATTTCAATCGAAGTTCTGAGGATTTTTCCTTTTCAGACTCGCTCATGTATCAGTGCGGATAGCAGTCCGTTTGGGCAGCCCTTGGAGCACCTCAGGTTGACTCCAAAGAAGATGGAAGTGCTGTCCTGAGTCTTTGCCCAGTCACAGTATGTGATTCAAATGTCACCGTGGGCCAGGATGACCCAGAAGAACCGCCCGCCAGGGTTGTTTGTTTGAATGCCTCAAGGTCTTTTGCCTACACCGAGTTATAATCTATTTTCATATTTCATTTGCGCCAGTGAGTCGTTCAAGGACCGAAGCTGCATTTTAGGCACCTCGTCCACCTAAAAAGATGCAAGAAAAGGTCTAAGACCCTCACCATACAGGCAGCTTTTGGAAGCTTTCGATGTTGTCCAGTTCCGTTTGTCAGCAGCGAAGTCATCTCCAGGTCTATTTGTTAGTCATTTCCCTAGAGCTGACCGCTGCCGCCTGTTGTCTATGCAAGGTGCCTCTGCAAGACTTTTTGGAGACTGTGTAGGTTGTTGGAACGTATTTTTGAATCATCTCTGCGGGATTGAGACAGCAAGCAATTTTCATTATTTGGGCCCGCTTTGAACTGACAGATTTGTTCAATTTTGATCAGCAGTAAGCAACAGAGGGTGCAGTAGCCTAGAATAGAAGGACGGCAAAGCACCTTTGAGAATGGATATATAGAGACTCTTGGAAGTGGTCTTTAGGTCCGTTCGATTCGCGAGTTCAGCTCAGCTGGCAAACAATGTTCTGCTCGGACAGGGTGCACGACACCATTTGCTTGGATTCTCAAACCATCAATACCAGCGAGAACCCAGCGAGAACCCCGCCGGCGAGAACCCAGCCATGATCGCCGCCGATTCCATCGCCAGGGCCGAATCCCTCCGGGTGCTCCACCCTGGATGGTGGCAGCTGGTGTGCAGAGCTCGGTGGGAGGAGGAGTCACAAGACGGAATTGGTGACCGGACTTCGGAGGAATTGGGGGGGACTTAACCTCACCGACTCAAATCCTTCAGACCTGTTAGAACAAGAGCAGACCTTGATCGCCGCTGCCTGGTGTTTGCGATGAAGGAAGGTGTTGAACATGGTATAAATTATAGGCGTGCTTAAAACGGGGAGACCTACCAAAGAGCCCCTGGAGAAGGGACATAGACAAACCCATTGGTAGCCAATTGGTTGGGGGACTTCCAATGAAAATACAGACCCTTATGGGAAAATAGGTTGAGAAGCGTAGTTCATTGCTGCGCATGTCCCAGACTGACAGCTTGATGCCAGGTTCGCTGGGTTGGTGTCTCTTTACATTTACATACCTACCAACAGGTCTCTCCTATTGTGCTGCAGCACTATTCCAACAGGCTTCAGCTTTGGTGTTTTCAGCCGAAGTTCTTTGGGGTTCCCTTCAAACAGCTTTTGAACTGTGACGGTTTATGTCTAAGGTTGGCAAGATGTTCCTTCGCAGCCACTATTTGTCAAATAGCTCCACATAGACCTGGTGATGACGTCGCAGTTTAGCGAGATCAGAGACGTTTTTCTACCTGAAGACAGCTTGCGCCGATGCCACTTCTAAGATTCCTCATTTTTCTTGATTCCTTGCTGTCAAGCACCTGACATATGATGAAAGGCAGCTTTTGACGCTCATTTGGGCTGAATGTGATGAGAAATCTTGCCTCATTTATTGGAGGCGGTGGGTTCTTGGCCTTTGCTTTGCCACATGTCGGTGCAGCTCCTTCTGGCCAGCGGCCGCGTCTTGCTCCAATGCCCTTTGAGATTCCTGGCTGAACAACAGTTGGGGCGGCCGTTGGGGGAAGATTGGAGGGGAGTGAGGGCATCTAAGATTTGCCTTGTTTTGTATGACATGAGTGACATGAGCATATATATATATATATATACATAGATTCTAATTTTGTATGCGTGGCTGCCGCACTTTGACGCGTGCACCACGTTCATCCTGTGTGCCGAAGGTGCAGTGCCGGTTGAGGATTGGTGCTGGCCTTCCACTTGGCCTTCACTGAGGCACCAGTGGGTCACAAGTTGCCCAGGATGCCCAGAGAGCTGGGGTTGCCGTGCAGGGCCTGGTGAAGGCGGATGGGCAGCTGCTAGATCTTCGGAAAAGCCTGGCAGAGAATGGCTTGGAGGTGCGGTGAGACCATCTCTCATCCGGCAAAGCAGTTTGTACAAGGGTCCACAAGATCTTTGGGACTCCCTAGTCTTGGTGCCCAGCATCCTTTTTCTCATATATCTTTTTTTACATATATACATATTGATATATAGTAATATACATATTTGCCAGGTCCTTAGGTCCTTCCGTTGATGCTCCTTCCGAATGCAACTCTGAAAGGACGGCGACGTGGTCACCGCCGTGGCGCGCCGCGCGCGCCTGGCGGCGAACCTCTCGGCCTTCGTGCTGATCGGCGCGGATGGTCGCGCCGAGGCCTGGGGCGGCCCGGAGCTGAAGTGCGAACTGACGGATGTGCAGGAGAGGGCGGAAAGAAGAGAAAGATTCTGCTGCACTGCTTCGTTTGGGGTTAAGACTCCCCTGCTCCTGTGGGAGTCTTTGGTTGTCATACTTGTTGAGCCACATGCAGCCATTCTGCGACCCGAAGCCGTCAAAGCCTTTCAAAGCAGATCAATCGCAGTATGGCTTCGACCGCGCCCTCCTCCTTGCCGGGCTCCGCTATCCTGGTCACCGGGGCGGCACGTGGCATTGGGAAGGCGATTGCTGAGGAGCTGGCCAGGAACGGTGCCAAGGCGATCTTGCAGTCTTCTGAGTCTTCAACATCTCACTTCAGTGGAATCATTAGGGAGTAGTAGAGTAGCTGCTGGAACAGCTAGATGCAGACGAAGGCACCCCCGATTGGTTGGAGATGTTTTCAATATGCCTGGAAGGCACTATTAGTACTACTACTCCTACTCCTACTCCTACTCCTACTACTCCTACTCCTACTCCTACTCCTACTCCTACTCCTACTCCTACTCCTACTACTCCTACTCCTACTACTCCTACTACTCCTACTACTACTACTACTACCACCACCACCACCACTACTACCACTACTATAAACATAGATATCCTAGTAGCCTCCAACCTACTAGCGATGGCCTCCACCTAGTAGCTTCTTGCTCCTAGTAGCGATGGCCTCCACCTAGGATTATAAAGATCTTTCATTGGAGAGAGCATGTTTTCCAAATTTCAAAAACCAAGTAAAAAAAACAACTTAGTCCCAAAAGTCAAAGTCCAGAAACTGTCCAATCAGAAAGTTTCAGAAAGTCAAACAAAAAATCAAATTGCTCAGATCCGACCTTTTTCTTTACTTTTGTGTTTCTATTTCTGACTTTTTTGTTTATTTTACTTTTTCGATTTATTATTCTTTTTTTTTGGACTTTTTTGAAAGGTTGATTTTTTTTAGTTTTCGAGTTGTTTTATAATTTAGCATTTTTTCTGAATTTGCTTTTTCGACTTCTCAATATTTGATATTTTTTTTTGACTTTTCAATTTGATTTTTTTGACTTTGACTTTTCCATTTTGTTTCGATTTTTTAAATATATATCAAGGATTCTGGCCTTACCATATGAAAGATTTTTATAAACCTAGTAGCTTCTTGCTCCTAATAGTAGCGATGGCCTCCAACTTAATAGCGATGGCCTCCACGTAGTAGCTTCTTGCTCCTAGTAGCGATGGCCTCCAACCTACTTGTGATGGCCTCCACCTAGTAGCGATGGCCTCCAACCTACTTGCGATGGCCTCCAACCTAATAGCGATGGCTTCCACCTAGTAGCGATGGCCTCCAACCTAATAGCGATGGCCTCCACCTAGTAGCGTCCTTCCTACCTTTTCATTTTTGACTGCACACGGTATAAAAGTAAAAAGTCCTTTAGGGAGGGCCCGAGATCTGCTGGCGCAGGTGGTTGTCACCGACGTTCCTTCCAATAGCGAGGGCATTCAGGCTCTGTGCAGCGCGCAGATTGTGGCGGCACCCTTGGGAGATTTGACGAATGAGGAGTTCCTCCAGACCTTGGTAAAGGAGCCACAGCTGCGGCAGAAGCCATTGTTTTGGCACCACCAATCTGTATCATGTGACACATTTGATTGGTTGAGATCAGTTTATCCATCCAATTCTTTTGCGGAAACGGAAACAACAGCTTAATTTGACATCATCCCCAACCCTATGCAGGAGGCAGTGAAATTGGCAGGGCCTGGAGGCAACTGTGCTAGAGAAACGGCAGCCCGGGCATACCTTGTGATGTGTGCTTTGTATCAAACTTTTCCCCTCTATCTTTTGGACAAGCCGCTTTGGCTCCGATGTTGTAATTGATTTGCTTGTCCTAGGTTCTTGAAGCAAGTAAAACTCTTTCGGTGCTTAGCCGCTATCATTCTGCATGTTCTTGTAGACTTGCTCATCTGACCAGAGGCAGGAATGCGTCTTGACAGTTCACTCCTTTGAAGGATA